ATATCAATGATCAAAGATGGATAGTAGCTAGCAGTGGAACCCAGGACGCGCGTTTCGTTCTATTTGGGACTTGTCATCTAGATGTACCTGGATGTACCAATATCGGTGAGACTATAATTGGAGCAACGCTAGAGTGACCTTGAAAGTGTCCACCTAATAACTAAATCCAAATGAAAATTATAAACCAGTGGAAAGAATTAGAATTATGATTTACAGTTGATGATTAAGGTTAGGAATTACATTTAAAGTTTTTATCAACAACTGACATCAGCTATAATACCAAAAGGCTACTTAGCCAAAAATGGATGAGTGAATTTCGCGCTAAAATCCAAGACCTATTATTACTAAATCTGATTGATTCATCCATGAATTATAGTCTCGTCTAAATATCTCATTGAATCTTTTGGATTAACTTCATGTTCTTTTTGTTACTAATCTATTCTATCGAATTGCAAAAACAAAAACTGAACAGTAAACTAAACTTTCTATAAAAATCAGTCATCATGATTTTGTTATTGTTGTGTTTTACACGATTTTTTTTTAAAATTTTTCCTGGAATTTTAATCAATTGATGGATGAAATAAACAATGAAAATGGACATTGATATATATATATACAATACTTGTATTCTATAGGACATGGTTACTTATTACCCTACTAATAATTCTTTTCTTATTTTCAATATAACATCTCTTACCTACATATGTTACTAACATTACTCCCCCTTTTTTTGTAATGTATCACCTTTAAATTCATTTTTAATTTTTCAAAGTAAAACAAAAAAAGAGGGGGGGGGAAACACTTAACAACTATTTGCCTCTACTTAATGATGCTTATGTCTATGTTACCATCATGGTTATTTACCCTAACTCAAATTTAATCAATGTATACATATTTATCAAACTAGGCATATGAATAATCAGTATATATTTATGTAAAGATATGAAAAGGGATCGGATTAAGAGAAAACAAACATAAATGAATCGTTTGATGATATGATAAACTATTGAAATCTCTTAGGTATAAAAATGTGTCCAAACTGATTGTAATTTGTAAATGGTTATATTTCATTTCATTGTTTAATTTTACATATGAATTAGTTGTAGTTTATAAAGCATAGATAGTTGCTTATTCAAATCATTCATTCATTCACTCACATTTGATAGATTTGGAAATAATTTGCTTAAATTATTAACTTATGGTGTGTGCTACTGATGTTCATAGATATAAGTAGTATGTATCATCACTTGAAAGTGGCATGTCTGGTAGCAGAAGGTTAAGAATATCAAAGAAAAAAAATCAAGATCAGAGAATGATTATTGTGGAGATGAAGTCTGAGACGATTGATCGACATCTTGCAAATTAACTACCTACTGTATGGTTCTCAGATTTTACTAAAATTGTCTATAATTTTATACTTGGATCTATTCAGTTGTCCTCACTTGTTAACAGGGTTTCCTGTTGACTAACTCCAACCACCATCTTATCTTAACATAGTACACGCAGTGTCGAGTCACCTAGACTAGTGGCCACATTGCTACTTGGTCGATAACATTCGCTCTGAACTAAAAAAGACACCTGACATTGATCACCACCCGGTGATCAATCAATTGAGACAACTGAGTTATTATCTTATTCTACATGTAAGTAGTTTATTCATAAATTTAAAATGGTTATTACATAATTTTTCTTTTGGTAATATATTAAGTAGAAAAAGTTTTTCCATGATAAAGCAAAACACGAACTTTAGAACTAAAAAATCTGTTACATGGTCAATATCTTATTATGCATACACTCCGTTAGTATGAAAATCTTTGGGATTCACAATACAGTACTTGGTGTTAGTTTATACTACTGACAATACTACTAATCATATACTTGGTTAAATAGTAATTGTAAAACCACAAAAAATAATTGCTTTATTTGATTTTATTTACTTATTTACGCCTGTTACCCCTCGTCGAGGAGCATAGGCTGCACATCAGCATTCTCCATCCAACCCTGTCCTGGGCAATTCTTTCCAGTTCTTTCCAGTTTTTATTCATCCTTTTCATATCTGCTTCTGTTTCCCGACGTAATGTGTTCTTTGGCCTTCCTTTTTTCCGCTTCCCTTTCGGATTCCAAATTAGGGAGTGCCTCGTGATACAGTTTGGTGATTTCCTCAATGTATGTCCTATCCATTTAATTTAAAAGACTATTAATAAAAATAGTTATTTATCTTTGGTAGTAATTACATTCACATTCATGAAGACAGTTTTTTTTCTAATTTTTGTGAACTGTAATGTATTTATGTAACCTGCATTCTTATAGCCTATGTAACCTATATTCATAATATTACAAAAATTAGACCGATACTACTTATAATTACTATGAAAACAGTTGACTAAATGTTAAATGAACAAATTTCTATAAACTCTATACAAAACACAGTGGTTGGTATAGTAGTAGAATGTTTCAAGAATATCTATTATGGAACAACTAATGAATACTGTTATACAATTAAATACCTGTAGAGAACATGCTGAATAATTCATTTGGTGGAAAATATCAATGATTTGCTATGATACGAATCACTATGAAGTAAAATATGATTGAAGGAAAAAGAAACTTGTTTTAATTTAGATAACGAAATGTTACTCTGTTTAGTATATTCCGTATGCGGTTAACAGTGGCATTCATGATATATACTTTTTCTTATTTGGAACTCGTTAGCTGAATGTATCTTTTGCATCCTAATGTTGATCTATCATACTGGAACTTAGATCCAATACATTTGTTCAATACATTCATCATTGAACTATTTAGTTCAGGTGGTTACCAGATTGTCCAACGAAAAGGTAGCTTTTAGCAAAAGGTTATGATTTCCATTGTTGATATTTAGGACTGAGCATTATCAGTCTCAGTTACCAACCGTCTAGGACTAACATATCTCAATAGAAATTGATCACTATCAGTCATGAACGAAATTTTTTAATCCTTACTAATTCATACTATGATTGAACATCCAAATACTGTATGATGACAAAACAATTTGGTGGAACATAGTGATTTTTTGAATAAAAAAACGGTTATACTCTTGGCAGATGTAGTGTAGTAAATGAGAACACGACTGGGGACAATTGAATGCAGTCAGCACTAAAATGCAGTCAGCACTAAAATGCAGTTTCACTAAAGTCTGACAACCATACAGTAAACAGTTAATTTGCAAACTATTAATCAATGGTCTCAATCTTTACCGTTCCTTCTGCAAATATCAGTCCATAGTTTCCGATTATTATTGTTCATGCATTTTTATACCAATTGCGTTTCGTTTCCATTCTTTCCTTATCGATCTTCTACTGAAATACATTCTATGCCGGACTGCCGTCATATACTACTTATGTGGATGTAAGCAACCCACACCACAGTAACACAAATGAATACATTTTTACTCTGAATAAAAATAAAGAAAATTCAGAGACAATTTTCCTTTCGACGAAATCATTTGCTTAAGCTGTACATTTGTATTCATCATTGTATGGTAAATATTTAAATCTAAGGAAGGATAGAAAAGATTGCATCATAAAGTGAGTCCTGACTTCAATTACCAAATGGGGTTACGTAATGATCAGTAGGTTAAATAAGAATAGAAGAATGAAAATAATTTACGGGTCGAAATTATGAAAGATAATTGTCCGCTTGATAGATATGAATAAATTATCGGCATAGGTATTTATAGAAATTTCAGGATTTTCAAAGTTGAATTCACGAGTCGATCTAAGCTTGAAAACGTGGAAGCGCTTGACGAAACGCCCGTTTAGTGTTTCCAGGTTTTCAAGGATAGTCTAGGTTAGATCGACCCATGAATTCAACATTGAAGATATGAAAAAAAACGAAGAACATAAAGGTCATAATAATAATCATGAAAAATTGTTAAATCACTTCATGATGCAATCTCCTCTTTCCTTCTATAGACCGAAATATTTACCAGCCAACTATAAATACGAATGTACAGTTTAAGGATTTTGTCCAAAAGAAAACCTCTGAATTCTCTTTATTTTTATTCACTGACAAAAATAGGGCATTTTAACTTTTTCTGATTTTAGAAAACATAGGCAGCTCATGGCGAAGTTTAACAAATCAATTACAAACTTACAATAATCATCAGAAAAGGCGTTTTTGTGAAGTTTTTAGTGATGTAATAGTTGAATATATGAGTTAATTAACGCTAGACCACCATGAAAAAACCTGGAAGTACTGGACAGCCATTTCGTCCTAGCGTAGGACTCCTCAGCAGTGCCCATCCACGATATAGCTCGCAGGATTATAACCTAGGATCTTCGGTCTCACTGCTCACTAGTGACTAACTTCAAGGTGTATTTCCTGGAGTTATAATGAGAATCCATAACCGATGAAATTTAACCGTGTCTATTATGATACAATTACTCACAAAATACAATGATGGGAGTTTGCAAAATATAATGGATTGGTTGAATTTAGACATTCACACCATTGGACGCCAGCTCAGTGCTTTAGAAGTTAAGCGTTCACGAGCGAGATTGAAGGTCCGGGTTCGAATCTCGCGGACGGAATCGTGGATGCCCACTGTTGAGGAGTCCCATACTAGGACGAAACGACCGTCCAGTAATTCCAGGTTTTCCATGATGGTCTAGCATTATTCGACTCATGAAATTTAGCTATTAAATTATAATAGCTAGTCTATATGTTAAAGATTAAGAAATTTATTTGTTTCGGAATTGATATCAGTATTTAGTCTAATATAGTTTAGATTCTTTTTACTAATCGTCATCTAAATGACTTTTACCTTCTAAAATATTCTATGAAGTTTGAAATTTCACTACTTAGACAATTTGAAGCAATTAGTCCCTTTGACAAATTCGAATAGTGTTACAAGAAGAAGTTCTGATGATCTTCGTCTTCTTACTGCACCATCTAAATTAGCCAAGTTAAATTTCATCAGTATTATAATGAAACTTTACGGTATATTTTTCTATTTATAGGTTCTACAATATTAAATAATCTATCATCTTCAAACGTCAGTTATTCATCTCAACTAATGAATTCACCTGTTGAACAATATAATAACAAGAATATTCATAAAGATTTTGATCATAAATATCAATTGGTGTTACCACAAAATTCGGTACCATCAAGTGAATTCAATATTGCAGCATTTAGTAATCCTAAATCAAACATTTCTGAATTAAATATCGGGGAAAGTAAAAGTGGTAAGTTAAGTGCATAAAGTTTTGGATTATTTTCTTTATTCATTGTAAACATACATACCTACATATGGGCAAAGATGGATAGTGGCTAGCAGTAGAATCCAGGACGCGCGTTTCGTCCTATTTGGGACTCGTCAGCTGAATGCATTTGCATCTCAGAGTTGATGTTCACTCTGGGACTCGAACCCAGTACCTTTCACTCCAAACGCCATCGAGTTATCCACTCAGCTACTGCTAGACACTATCCATCTTTACTTATAATGCTTGTGAATTAAGGCTATATCGAGGCACTACGCACAGTATGAACATATGCCAATAAGAGACTGATCGATTGCAGTCCTAAACATCAATGGGAATATTCAAACAAACAATACTAAGTGAATATCAACATATGGTTTACACAGATGTTGCGTATTCGTCGCCTTGACCTAAGTCTTCAAATAACTTTTGAATAAACTATCTTGGTTTGAAATAGTAAAAGTCAAGGGATTTGTTTCTCAATAGGTTGTATATGTAAGCATAGATGACAATTTTCATATTACAGCGCAACAACCATTCAGTATTTTTAGGTCTTCAATAGTTGTTTAACTAGGGTCAGTATGTAATCCTTATTTATTTGAGCGTTTACATAGTACATATTTGATTACAGCATGTATTACTAATTCCATATAAAAAATATAGTATATCACGCTTGGTTGTACGCTTTCATTATATATGTAGAATGTTAATTTGTTTGTACAATAGGATACAATAATAAGTAATAGATAACTCTATTTTATCTCACATATGTAACATATAACCTCGTAAGATATGAGATACCGGGAAAACAATATATACAGCATACATGAGCTAGATGAATGAACCCTGAAAAATAGATTACTATAAGGAATGTGAAGTGAAGATACCACACGTATTTGGAGTTTGACAACACTTTAATCAGTAATACCTTCTGTAATCGAAACGTGCAAACCCAATGAAATCAAAAGTCAAAAGCTAAGAGGTTCGAAGATATATTTGACAGCTTGTCAATATATCGTGAAGTAAATGATCTAAACTATTTAGCGGTTGTGGGAGAAGTTGAGAACAGCGTTTTCATTCATGATCTGGTGCTGATGGGTGATCTAGTTCATTAAATCTAATATGGTCAGCATCAAATGTTGAAGACTTACAGAGCTATTGATTTTGGGGATTTATTTACCGCTACAGATGTATTAAGTTTTATTTGCCTAAACTTTGTCATAGTTCAAAGGAAATTATTGTTTAAAATGACAATGATTTTGTAAGGATGGCTCGTTGGAAAACTCAAGGAAGCCTCAAGAAGCCCAGAAAGAGCCGAAGACATTCCATTCAATCACCACTAGGGGAACATTCTAGAATGTCGACGTGTAGCTCCCCTATGTGATTTTTGTACTATACTTGACACTGTTTGGGGAATAAAATTCCTACTTGCTAGTCTTCTGTCTTCTCTTTAGCGACGTTGCGGGTTCGATCGTTCAAGTAGTCTAGTAGTACGCGGCATAGCAAAAATCAAAGCTCTAGATGTAACAGTTTTAATATTAAATAATTATGATTTTGTCTTCTAAATGTTAATTATCTCTTGTTTATATCACTTAAGAAGTACTACAAATTCTAGAACATAGAATAGTTGTAAGTACTCACTAACTCATTGAGTCAATATCAAATTAATTTTCTTTATCTTATGAATCATATTTATGTATATTGTATTATTGTTGAAGTGATCAGTCATGAAGAAATGTTTCTCATAATGCTAGAAAAATAACATTTGATGAACATGTCTTATATAGTATTCATATCAATTTCCATCTTGTCACATAATGTACACATTTTGCTTAACAATGTTTACCCCCCAAATGCCCTGGCACAGCATAAAAAGGGAAGATTCCGCTCCCCCTCTCAAAATGCTGTCACATGGCCACGCGTATGTAGCCTCTGTCAGGGAAGTCCTACTCACTGCCTTCTCGTAGTATTACTGTTGTTTACGAAATTGAGAGGAAAAAAGTGAATATCCGACGCTTTAACCGGGTTGGTGGACACGGAAAGTCCATCTAGGCAAGTTGGAAAACCCTCATTCCAAACCAATGGTGCACATGGGCTCCAGAATCCTGAGGGAACAAATGGCGTATAAATCAATCGTTGGTCACCGGATACCATGGGACTGAACCTCCTCACGATGTTCCACTGTCTTGTGGATCAGACATTTAGGTCAAAAGCTGCGGGTGTGGCCCCCTAAGAAAAGCACCTTCTTCAGTTTGGACACCTGGGCAGTATCACAGCCCTCACACAAATCAAATGTGATTTGTGACGTGGATATATATCTGGTGCTAATTTGTATCAATATTTATGTGTTTAAATAAATAAATAAATAGATGAAGTGTCAAAAACATATTTAGGCGATTAGAGACGACAATGTTCAAGTTGTTTGAGTATGGCCGATAATTCAAATAATGTAACCATAAAAACTATTTGAATTTTGTAAGCATAGATGGATGTTGTTTGGCAGCGGAATCCAGGAAAGGCGTTTCTTCATGTTTAGGACTCATCAACTGAATTACCCTGAATTACAGAGTTGATTTTCATTTTAAGACTCGAACCAAATACTGTCCACTTCATATACTAATGCTTTATTTAATTAACTACTGAATACAAATAGCCACTAGTTTTTACTTATAATGTTCATGACTTAAAGCAATATGGAAACAATTCTTACAGGATACATACACATATAACAATAAGTGACTGATCACTTACAGTCTTAAAAACCCAATTAGATGATTCAAACAACTAGTATAAAAACGGTATTTTGATTTCAAATTCACTTATTATTGTTTGTTTGAATCTTCCCATTGATGTTTAGGACTGCAACTGGTCAGCCTCTATTTTGCATATGTGCATATTGTGCGTATTGCCTCGATATAGCCTAAATTAGAGACTGACCACTTGCCGTCCTAAAAATATCAATGGGAAGATTAAAACAAACAATACTAAGTGAATTTAAACTTCACCTCATTGCACAAGCAAGTGGCTATCAGAACTCAGTGGCCGAGTGGATAACGCGATGACATTTGAAGCGAACGGTACTGGGTTCGAGTCCCAGAGTAAACATCAACTCTGAGATGTAGGTACATCCAGCTGACGAGTCCGAAATAGGACGAAACGCGTGTCCTGGATTCCACTGCCAGCCACTATTCATCTTTGTATTTTGATTTTGTTTTTGTTTTTTTCTTAATTCATAGATAGATGGAATCACTTAATCAATTATAATACAATACCTTATAACCCATCATTCTCATCTAACCCTAATCCTATCGAAAAGAATGAATCTTTTGAAGTACCAAATTACATGTCAGATGGTAACTACTCATTAATCAAAATGAATTTGTTTGAATATTTTTTGTTTCTATTTAATCAAATAGAACATTTAAATAATATTCAATTTAATTTATCAGATTTTTATCAATGGTATCAATTTTATTATAAACAATATATACAAAATATGATGTTTATAATGATTGAAAAAAATGATGAAAAACCATTAGACCTGTCATTGAAGACATCATCAACTTTGATGGAGTCAACGTGGTTAGTTTATCTTTTTACTTTGTTAAAATCATAAGTTGTATTTCTTTAACAGTTGAGATCATGAATCAATGGAGGCTAGACTATCATGGAATAGCTGAAAGTACTGGACGTCCGTTTCGTCCCATTGTAAGACTCCTCAGCAATGCACTTTCACGTTTCTTTAATTAGAGATGTATTTTTTGTTTTGAATATATGAAACTAAGTGTAATGAGAGTATATTTTAAAAAGCGGAAGAGTATGTAGATGAAGTATATTAAAAGGGGAAATAAATGCGATGGCATTTATAGCGAAAGATAATGGGTTCGAGTTCTGGAGTGAACATCAACTCTGAGATGCAGGTACATCCAGCTGAGGAGCCCCAAATAGGACGAAACTTGCGTCCTGGATTCTACTACTAGTCACTATCTATCTTTGCTTACAATGATTGTGAATTTAGGCTATATTGAGGTAATACGCACAGTATGCACATATGCCAATCAGAGACTGACCAGTTGCAGTCCTAACAAAATCGATGGGAAGATTCAAACAAACAATACTAAGTGAATTTAAATAAACAATTTTGTTTCAATATAAGTGATGTTTAGAAAATTAGTTCAATTTATTATAACTAAATTACTATCAAGAAAGAATAATATGGTCTTCAAGAACATGATTATTTCATACATACATGATTGATTGTAACTAAAATAAATGACCATATTTGTTTCTACATAGAAATATTACTCATCTATGAATATCTAATTCATGAAGTTCAGTTTTCATCAAAAGTTATTGAGAAAGATGTAAACTTTTCTAAAATGATAAACAACTACCACAAATGCTGAACCAATGGTAGGATACATATTTTGTAAATTAGTTTGTAAAACCTCCTTTCATTTGTTTGTATCGTTTGTGTAATTAGGAACTGAGAAAAGAAATTTCAATTCAATAGGCTGTTAAACAAGTTAACATGAATCGTTTTTAAATAAATCAGATTTATTCAAAGAAAGAGTAAACCGCTTTTCTGAAGTATTATAATACTTACTATCCAAATCATATGTACTAATACCAATCACTGTTTCTTATAAGCTATGTACAAAATGAAACATGAAACAGTTTGATGTGGCAGTTGAATGTTGTCGGCAAAAAAAACACACTGAATTTAGGTTTTGCGATATTTTACACCCATCGAGAATATGGACCTGTAATTTTAAGGGGACTAGTGGTTTCTGACGGATTCCATCAGCTGTCACCCGGCTTCAAAGGCAGACAGATTATTTTCGATCAATTCTGACTGCGATTGATAGTTTGAAGGACTGAAATGTATTTACTATTGTCTGACCACTGAGCGGTGATCAATATCATGTATGTTAGGTTCTTTCTAATGCTGATTAAATTCTATCAGTCTCCTGAAAATTATAGGTATATCTTAATGACGAATGCCAAATAGGACGAAACTTGTGTCCAAGGTTTCCTGTAGACTACCTGCAAACAACACCTATCATCTTAACATATTGCAAGCAATGTCAAGTTACTTAGACTAGTGGCCATATTGCAAATTGATCTACAGAATTTAGTTGCTACCAAGAATAAATAAATATAAAGGACATAGATTACTACTTAGTGATTAATGAACTATAAACAAAAAAGCTTACTTGGACTAGAATTCATAGTCATTCTTCTTACATTTAACTTTGGTTCCATTAATTTTATTGTCATAATGATTCGTAGTGGACAATCTTATGCTCACCATCTGATTCTATTCAACAACAAAAAAACGATGTTGGAATCATCAGCATAAATTATCTATTTGATCTAGTACATTCTACTAAGATTAACTTCATTTGCACGACAGCTGTATTCAAATGCCAACTATATAATAAATTGGACGAATTTATTTCAAGCTGTCATCAGATCAAACAAACATTAAAATGAGCGATTGAAAAAGACGATGCGCTTACTCAATTAAAGCTTTACTGAACATCTATAGAAATGATAACAAATCGAAATATCATGCAATCTTACACACACATAGAAATGTTAAACGAACTTGTGCGATTAGAATAATTCATCTATTCATCAAATGTAACAAACGTATAACAGTGTTAATCGTTAAATAAACATATTAGAAAGGGGTTTTGTGGAGATTTTAGTAATTTTTATATGATTGAAATCATGAGTCAATTGAAACTAGACAACCATGGAAAACCTGGAAGCACTAGACAGCCCACAATAGGATGGAACGGCCGTTCAGTGCTTCCAGGTTTTCCATGGTAGTCTAGCTTCAAATGACTCATGATTTCTCTCTCTCTCTTTCTAAATATATATATATATATATATATATATATATATATATATATATATAGTAGTATCGATCGTTATGTTAAGCTCATATACTTTATTCTAGTTGCTGGCCAAACCAATTCACCTGTACATTGAGTCATCTTTTGATCTTGTTAATCATTTGCTTATTAACCTTGAGTACTTTTTATATGAGCGTATATGTGTGCACAATTCGTATCTTAGTCATCATATGTCTGTCACTCATTTTTGTCCGACTATAAATGCTGATTAACGCTTGCTTAAATCGAGTTGGCTTCCCAGCCGTCGCCACTGCATGTCATTTCCGTCTCGTTCGCTTCCTTCGCTTATTCGCCTGTTCACTCGCTCGTTATTATTCGCTCAGGTGTTGTTAACTTTCTGACCTTAGTTATTCGACAATAAACTGTAGTTGCTGCTATCCTTTGTCTTCTGATTTTACGCGCCGTTAAGATTAGAATTATATCGGTTATCGAAACGAACGATTAACGAATCGCGACACTACAATATATCATTTTAATTTGATCAATTGCTGATTTCTGAATCATTTTATAACATTTTAACTAACTTCAAACGTAATTCAATAGTTAAAATCATGAGTCAATTGCAGCTAGACAACCGTGGAAAACCTGGAAGCACTGGGTGACCGTTTCGTCCTATTGTGGGACTCCTCAGCATTGCGCATCCTGCCTCGTGAGATTCGAACCCAAGACCTATCTTGATTTCGACTATAATATTACTGAAATCTCCACGAAAGCCCCTATTTGATCATTTCAAACGATTTTATCCTATTGTTTTTTTTCTGATCACGATCTTTATTGTCATAGCCAACCACAACAACCACCACAACAACGACAGATACCAGATGAACAACTATCTCAATCAAATAAAATCTTAAATGAAACATCAAAAATTCATTGTCATTGTTCTACATGTTTATTATATTGTAAACATTTAACTAAAAATAATATTGATTTCTATCAAACAATATCAAATCTATTACCATATAATCTATCTCCTAATTCATTAAAAAATCAATATTCTATTAATTTAAATAATGATCAAAAAAATATTTTTAAAAAATCTTTATCAAAAATCAATAAACAAAAAAATTTTTCATTGAATTTAATCGATAAAATATTAACAATTAAAAAAATTAAAAAAATCAATAATACTAATAATACTGATTCATTTACAATTAATCATACTACTAATAATACTACTCATAAATCTTATTTAAATAATAAACATATAAAACGTTCATATACACAATATGAATTATTTGAAGCTATTAAAGCAATTTATTTTGGACAATTAGGTACACGTAAAGCAGCTAATATATATGGTATACCAAGATCAACATTAAGAAATAAAATATGTAAATTAAATGAAATTAAAAAATTACATGAAAAACATTTAAATGTTAATTAAATTATGTTTTTTTATTATCAATTTTGTTTCAATAACATTAAATAATAATAATAATAATAATAGGAGGCGGAACACGGGGAAACCTAGTAGGCCCTACTGAAGAAGTTTTAGGTCGAAGCATGGCACAACTACCGGGGCGGGAGGGCTGTTTTTGCACTGCTTACGCAGAACCATTACGTAACACTCTCATTCGGGGATTCTTTTTGGGGGAGGGGCAGACTCATTTTTTCCATCTTTTTTGAACCCTCAATAGTTATTCAATGACTTTTTGTAGCATTCCGAATCGTTTGCGGGTATAGGTAGAGTGGTTGATTAGGTCGATCTCCAACACCCGCATTACCGCTCAAGTTAGTGAATTGGATGGTCTCCATGATCCAGGAGGCACGACAAGGACGTGTGAGTCGGATTTCGCCTCCTAAAAAATAATAATAATAAAGATTATTATTTTCACTTGATGTTGTTTACTTGTATCTTACCATTGACGTTTAGGAATACAGTCTGTTGTTAGAATATGTGTATCCTGTGAGAACTGTCTCAATATTGCCTGAAGTCACAAGCATTATACACAAAGATGGATAGTGGTTAGCAGTGAAATCTAGGATGCGCGTTTTGCTCTATTTGGGACTCGTCAGATGCAGGCGATTGGTGAATGAACTACATAAAAACCTTTGAACGTATTCCGCAATAGATTCAATTCTAAAGTGATTTATTATACAAATCTGTTTTATTTTTTCTATTCAGGTGAATTGTCGAAGGAGTTACATGTATAAAAGGGACTTTAGATCATAAATAAAAAAGTGGAGTAGAAAAGTCAATTTATGAGAAAAAAAGTTGGCATCAATTCATAAACTACGGTGCTCATATCAACAACCAGTTAATCAATAATAGAACTGCCAATAAATTAGTTATCTAATCGAAACCACTGACATCAAATTTTATAATCAAACTTAAAAGACTTTTCAGAAGTATTTTCAGTGCAACTGATGTTCTGTAATACAATATTGAATCCCATTTGTAACTAAGTCACTATCCAAGCTCCCCCTATACAGAGTTAAAAAACAGAGATTCATTGTATTGAGTGCATGGAACTATATGCATATGTTGTGTGAATCCACTTGATTCATAAACGTTCAGTAAGTTGTTGTTGAAAGAGGGAGCATTCGAACTGGATCTCTCTATCCATTATGATTCCTGCCAGCGCTCCATAGTCAGTGATTGCCTGTTTTATCTGTACTCTATCGGCAGATTCTGTTGAGAGGTCTTTGAGATGACTGGTTACACACCAGTGAATAAGTCGGTCTGAGCATGCAAGAAGTCGATGAGATCTTCGGTATGGTAGCAGCGGCCTGACGATATGGACATAAATATGACGAAACCTGGAGTCCTGTTTCTGAAAACAACTTACTGAGGAGCTGTTACGACAATGCAACTTGACATTTTGGTATTTCATGTATGCTTGTGAATAATCACAGACAATAAGGCTGAGTTTTAGCCATTTAAAACACTCAGTAATTAGCTTCACAGTAGCTTTCGTCCCTAGATGCGATGTATTGTGAATGTCTCCAAAGATATTATCACTGGTTTAGAAATAAAATGCTATGATCTATCTAGTTAAACATCCCACTTTACTTTGAATTCATCCAATTGCACTGCTTCTAATATCCGAAGAATTGTGACCGAAAACCTCAGGTTAGATTATTCAACATTTGGCATTTGTATGGTTGACAAGTATGGCAGTAGATTTAAGCTGAAGTGAAAGTTTTTATTGATATTCTGGGTAATGCATTAGTAACTACTCTGTTGTTACCTTTCATGTATTGTACGTAGAAAGGCAACTATGATACAAATTCAAGTTTTCGAATCTATAACGGGTTATGTTTATCATCATTATTTGCCAAAGCTTTGTTTGGACGTTTATGGTTAGTAAACTATGTCATGAAATTATCGGCTAAAATATAACGAAAACTCTAAAATGTCAGGCAAACGGGTTAAAAAATGTCCCTCCAAGGCACCGCAGCTTGTTTGCACTGGATCCAATCTTTTATGAAAAGAAGCGAGGTGACTGCAAGTTCCTGTTTCCTCGTTAACACAGCATTACTCTGGTGGTAATGTAAGGAGCAACTGATACGTGTCACAAAAGTGCTTGGTTGATTCTGAACACAGTTAACGCTCGTAATATATAATTCATTCCTCACTTTTTCAGACCACCAGTGAGTTTTAGGGTATACGCGCAACGTGCTCGATCATTTCTCAAATTTATCTTTGATATAAGCAAGGTTTATAGAATCGAGGAGTCTGGGATAAGAAAACAACAGGGGCTCTTTGGCTACACTGTAGTGTACCACATCATAATTCAAATAAACTGGGTTGTGTTCCGCTTATTGTTGACTGTGTAGTCATTTTAATCAGTCTCTGTTTCTGTTAGTGCTGTTTTCGATTCTGAATGTCAAATCCGAAGGACTTCCATCAGTTACTGTTCCCTTGACTTATTTACTGTCTTTTATTTTGAGCACACGAAACTTAATACATTTTGGCATCTATAGATAGAATGCTGCACACAAAGATATGAATAGCATAATGATTGACATCGACTAATGATTTGTAAGATCGTAAAACGACGGTTCCAACTACTAGGATTACAATATTAGCTGTGAAACATTTAGTGAATGTGCGTTCTTTTAACCGAAATTCAGCTATTTGCCCCTATAGGTGTTAGTATGGGACTTTTAGCGCCAAATGGTGTAATTATTGTAAGATCCATTTTGAAGGGTCGTGTGTGGAAATCCTTCTCATGCATGCATTCGCAACTTGTTCTTAATGGTTTCTTCAGTTGTACATTATTGTTAATCTTTTTGATGCCATTTGAGATTGTAATGTTTCATTTCATAATAATTTTTTCATTTTCTCTTTCGCTTTCACTGGGTTTCTATGTTTCTTCTTGAACTGTATCTATGTTGTTTTAATTGATATTTTATCCTGGTGACAGCCATATTGATTGTTCCCTCTTTGATTGTGTTGCTTGAGTTGACTGGGATAGTGCATTTTAGTTGTGAATTGAAGCGCTTTCCCAGAATTGGAGACACTTTGTGTTATAAAGCAACAAACTGTTATCTTTTGAACGGATTTTTACTTGATCTATTTAGAAAGGATATAATAACATTTATTCTTTGGTGCGTTCGATCGATTATTGAGGGAACAATTATTGGTTGAATAACTGAGTGATAATATTTGTTTAGGTTAAATTGTACATTTGTATTTATGGTGGAATTTAGAACCGTTGTCACCCCAATCACCTTGTTCTGACTTCAATTGGGATACACGTGTCTCTTCTTGTACAGACAGTTATTCCTCAGCCAAACTTAGTTTGGATCTTACAGTGCGTAGTCACGTATATTACCATTTCCAAGTAGGTATTATTGAGACTTTATAAGGCTTCAATTAGAATCTCACTCCCAAATAGCTAGCCCGTATCTCATTAAGTATGACATCACAGTTGAGCTTCCACGACGAGTAACTAAAGTTTCCAAAGCTCTCTTCCTCATCAAAGGACGAGAGGTGACCTTACGTTGGTATGCCTTATCTTCAGTAAAGTGGTTTTCATTTCTGTTAGCTATGAAGGGTGCTAGTTTGTTCTGGGTTTTGTTTCGTTTGATTTATGGTTTAGTTGTGACTGTTGGTACTTAAATTTACCTAAACGTGTGGTAAAAATATAGCTTGCCAGATTCCTGGAGTGATTTTCAGTGATCTTCAGATTAATCAATCATAAATTAGCTAATCGAAATACAGCTTTCGAGAAAGAGTTCTACAAAACAAACTAATCAAAAGATTACAGATGATGTGAACCTTGGGCACGATTAATATACATACTGGGGTTAAATATTCATAAATGAGGCTGAAAATCTTAGTAAATATTTTTATCAATTTCAAACAGTTTCGGAAGCTAATACTGCGAATTTTCACTTGCACTTTAATTAAATCTAGTCTATATTGCAGTAAGTCTTCGATCTTGCCTAGAAATCCAAGAGGTTTTATTTTATTTCTGATTGGTTCACTCAAGGCCAACATTGTAATACACATTCCCACCCTAACTGCTACCCATGAAGCTACTAAATTCCATCATTTAACTCTAATGCTTCTAATTCTAAGCTTTCACTCGTCTCACTTTCGACTTTTGCATTCCTTTTCTAACAGTACTTCTAAAATGACAATAATAGTCAAAATCATGAGTTCTAGAGACAAGCTATCTGCAATGGCCTTTAAATTTGTGCTAATATTTAGCATAAGCTATCGTAATTTTTATTACCTGCTCAAGGTCTTCAGTGAAGTATGGTTCCAGCGAATACGTTCATTTATATCCTATTCTCTATAAGATTTTATGGTAAATAAAATAAATTCATTTCACCTTTTCATAGCGATTAACTGATTATAATGAGATTTTTGAGTTTTCATTGTCATGTAACAATGGTATTGAAATAGACACTACAAGAGAACTATGATGGACATAGAATTTCTCCGCTGTCTCGACGTTCTAAAGAGATTTTTGAGTGAAAAAGAAGTGGATTATCGGAGACCTCCCTCTAAACGTCATTAGATGCAAACTTTCAAGGATGAACAGCAGTGATAATTCACCGTACTTTCTGAGTTGTCTCGATGTTATACTTGTGCCCGGTCATGGCATTATTTAATGTTGGGGTTTTTCAGGCTTTGTATAGAATATAAATAAATTATATATTTGTAATATCCCAATGAGTAGAAAAATTAGATTTTCTGACGTTTCGTGACTCAGTGTAAGCCACTTCTTCAGAGAATAAATAACCAAATTTTGTAACCAATTTTGTATAGAATAGTTCGATGACTAATGAAAATCTTCATTATTTGCTTAAGAGGTGCTCCAAAAACAAATTCTTACCACATGTACTCTAAAAAACATATCGTTTTTTAGAGGAGTTCGAAAATTGTTAATCTTCAAGTCTTTTGTCCTATTAATAAACCTTCCTCAAATGGCCTAGCGAC